TCTCATTGTACATGTGTATAGTGACAATAAAGGCATTCTCTTCTCTATATATTAAAAGTGTCCCTTCCTTTATTGAAAAACATCATCAATATGATCGATAGATAGAAAGATAGATAGATAGATAGATAGATGCAAAATGGATTTGTTATTGTAGTATAACCTTTCTGTTGGGGTACATTTACATGCCAATCTTCGGTGTGTAACTTTGGTAACTGCATTAGTCATTTAGCTGCATATTACATAATATGAGAGAGGATGGCTCACATGAACAGTGCAGGCACAGCACCTTTAAAGAGCAGTCTTTAGTCATAAAGTCACAGTCAGGTGGCACAAATTTTAGGATTAAAATTTAAGGTCATAATTTAAGGGCGTACACATATACAGTATTCTGCTACATTTCTCAAGTCAACACCCACGATCATTGTAAGACATGATTATGTAATAAATGAAAACAGCCCTTATTTTGCTTTCACATCACATGTCGTCATTCTTTCAATATTTAAGATTAAATATTAAATCCTAAATATTCTTTAGGGAGACAGAAATAGTAGCAACAAAGAGGTACGTACAACAACTGTTTACCAAATGTCGGGAGTTTTATTTTATGTATTTCTTTATGTTAAAAAATTTGTAAAACAATAGCCGCTTTGTTTATTTAGAACCATACAACCAAAATTGATTAATTGTACGTAAGATAGTAATAAAATGATTAAAACACTTATGAAACGATTATTATCACCACATCATTTGTTTATACTGTTTTTCTTCTCAATCTATCCAGTATTCAACCACTGACTTCCACTTATCAAAAAAAGTTAGAACCTACATCCTATGCAAACTAAGCACAATGAACCATTGTGGGGTTTTTGGTACCAAGATAAAAAGAAGAAATGTGCATTTTGAGAATATTATCAGAATATATATTAACTTAAAGGTTTCTGTTCTGGGGTAAAGCAGCTACGTACCAGACTTTGGTGTGTAACTTTGGTGACGGCATTAGTCATTTAGCTATTGCATATTACACAATATGAGAGTGGAAGTCTAAGAGTGCAGACACTTTATAACACCTTTCAGAAGAAATAGAAGAAATACAAGACCAGCCTTTAATCATATCCTGCAAGAGAAGTTACAGCCAGGTAGCACAGATTATAGGACGTTTAAAATGGGAGGCAATAATTTAGGGGTGCATGCACACATACAGTACAGCCATTGCTCATTGTAAGACATAATTATCGTTCTTCTTTTAGGAGAAAAAGCATCATTAAATACAATGAACTTTGGTTGAAGAATTCTTAACTTGGTAAAAAGTACTAATACCACAAAATAAAAGTTAAAAAAAACTTGTTATCAGTAAAATATACTTAAAATATTAATGTAGAAGTAGTTATGCAGAACAGCCACTTTCAGTATGATATTGTTAGATCATTACTACTGTATTAATGTATAAGCAGCATTCTGTTGTTGTGAAGATAATTGTATTTTTTAACTATAATAATGTAATTATTGTAAATGGATTTAAGGATGGACATTAAGGATGGAGGGAACAGCAATATTCTTAAGGGAAAAGTTTGAATTGATTTTAGTTTTTGTATTTTTTATGTCAGGGAATCAATATGCAAAACAATTACTGCTTTATGTTTATTCAGAAGAAACATACAAAGAAAACTAACGAATTGTATGTAGGATATTGTAAACAAATGCGTTGTAATGGTAATAATCAACACTTCACAAGTGTCCTGCAGGAGCCCAGTGTTTTAATCATTTTATTACTGTTTTTTTCTCAATCTATCCAGTCCATTGTTACATGAAACCCAACCTCCAAATAAATAGTATTCAACCATTGACTTCCACTTATCAAAAGTTAGAGCCTCAAAGAAAAAGAAAAACAGTGATTACACTATTAACATGATTTACAATGCAATCAGTACAACTAAAACACTACTTTGCATATTTCTACACATTGAACTGCCCCATGATCTGGAACACAGCAGAGATTAAACAGTGAAGTGGTTAATTCAACCGGTTTGGAGTGTCAAGGTGCTATATTATAAGTTGTAATCTGTTCAAATATTCAACAGTAAACATTTTAATCACAAAACCTTTTTTTTTTTTTGTTAAATCAAAGGTTTCTTTTCTTTTTATTTATTTTTATTTTTACAATAATCTCTTCACAAGTCTGCACACCAGTAGATACACACTTTGTTTTTGTTTCATAGGTGTATGTGTTTGTACTGAATCACTGCCGGTTAGGGGAAAAAAAAGGTAAGATAATGTGAAATATCTGACACAATTGAATATAAAGTGAGCATTAACTGTTATTGTCTGAGGGTCTGTCAGGTCAGTGAGGGTTTAGGCAATTCAGAACAACCAGCATTTTTTTTTCCCTGTAGTACCAGCATTGACATTATGAAAGAACATACAGCCAAAAGGTTCATACATGGGTTAATTCATGAGGAACATTTATGAATACATCCTTTTACATTGTACTGGGAAATTAAAGGGTCGTTGCTGAAATTGAATTTGTAATTACACATTTTCAATGATCTGGGATACAGAAATACACACACACACTCACTCACACACACGCACAAACACACACACAGCTTGATGCTTGGACAGTTACTAGTTGTTAAAAAAATATCACTTTACAGATTGAAATTTGTTCAAATTCGGTATTTAAAATTGAAGTAGCTGAGCAACCATTTCGTTTACATTTTTGTTACCTACTTATATTATAATGGACAGCTAACAACTTAATAGTGACGGCTGATGTGAGATGTGTAGCCATTAAGGGGATGTTAAGAACTGGTTACACTTGGTGACTTAGACTTTTAAGTCAAATGGTTTACAAAAAAATAATTAAATATAATCCTTTGGTAAACTGGTGCCATAGTCATTTCCTTAAAGTGATACTACATACTTGATACTTAAAAGAAACTTTGACGTTAGCGGAGCTATTTTTGCAAAAGGAATGAAATACTACTGTACAAATCTGAATACCAAACACCCTATAAAACTAGGGCCACTTTCTATCACACCGATTAAAATCTTATTAGCAACTTCTGCCTGCAACTCAAAGAGGTCCACTGCTTGGGTGAACTAACTGTATTAAGATATTTAACACATTTTCTACTTTGTAAGTGTATTTACATAAACTTCATTAGTCATTTAACACAAACAGTTAGGACTGAGCATCTTCATTATTGATCTAGGATAATACTTGATTCTGGACATCTACCAGAAAATTGGCTACCATTCAGTGGGAATATTCAACAAATCATTGTTCTCTATTACACAACACATCCTACTACTCCCACTTCATTAGTAACAGCTTATAATTAGCAAGAAAAGACTTTTCAGCCTCCCTGACTGGTAAAGGAAGTGACCTTCCTTGGTCAAATAGGCTGATAATCAATACCTTGCAGACCATTTAGGGAAGGCAAATCAAATCACAACTAAACCAGTTTCACCATATACACCTGCAAATGTGCAAATGTTCTCTACTTCATACAGAGAATTTAAATCAATAGTAAATGTTGAAACTTACCAAAGTGTTATAAAATGATCAAACAAATCACTGTTTGGCTCTATTATTGGCAAAAATGTTTTCTACAAAACTATTGCACATAAAAATACAACCTCTCTTAAGAACAATCACAACCGTCTTACTGCTCACATAACTATGTGCAAACTAGTTCAAAGTTTCAACTCATTATAAAGTTAAGAAATCAACCTGTCAAATTAAAAGAAATTATCATTTCAATTAGCATGATTATATTTATCAAAGTTATTAAAGAAACTGCATATGTGCTACGGGAGTCAGTCCAGTCAGCTGTTTAAAAAAAACAAAACAAAAAAAAAACATAAATCACCCATCCATTCATGCATCCTTTCAATAAAATTAAAATAAAAGTTGAGTCTGAAAGACTCAAAACCATATATGTGCCTTTGATGTTGCTTTTAGATATGAAGCTTTTTATTTGAATTCAAAATGCACAAATATGGTTCCTTCCTCTAAAATGATTAATTCTAGTGCATAGACCCGACAAGGCGGCTCTTAAGTAACTACTGCACAGATTTGCAGATGTGCGTGTAGAAACTGCACTTGCACAACATAGAGCAAGTGCAGACATGACAGGGTGAGAGAGGCGTCTCTATTGTCTCCATCGCCTGATAGTGGGCTGTGCAGGGCGAACTGATTTCTGTGGAATTAGGGTGGAACTGATCATTTAGATTAAAAGTGAAACAGGGTGTGGGGGATTCAGAAGTCTCTTGCGGGATTAATTAATTTATGACGAAGCAGGATAGAAACAGTTGTTACTGCATGATAATGTGACAGAAAATAAAGATTTGTATGTCCTTCTACCAGTTCATGAGCAGCGCCAGGCTGCAAGAGGAATATGTTGAAAAGTGCTCGTCTGAAATGAATATGGCTCGTCCAAGCCCACACTCCTCCCTCTCATCCTGCAGCTTCTGCCCTTGTTGCATTACTCCTGCCCAAAACCTTCTGTCTCTTCTATGGCGAACATGAGCTTCTCCTTCAGCTGCTCATAGCTCTTGTAAGGAGGGAGGTCCAGACGATTAAAGCTACGTGGAGAAAAGAGACAGAAACAAGATGACTCTTGAAATAAAACTGACAAAACTGCTGACAAAAGAAATTATTTGCTTTCCTTATTATTATTATTATATTATAATTATTTCCTTATTTTATGAAAGACTTCTCTTGTGCTGCACTTAATACACATGATGCTTCATAAGAGCATTTGCCAAGATAAACACTTTGTAAACTGTATTAGTCAAGGTACGACAACAATGCATTCTCACACAGTGTTCTATAACTCCAAATGCCAAATTTAAAACAGACAATAAAGGAAGGCTAGTCACTGGTTGATTCAGATATGACTAAGAAGGTTTGGTCATGACAGTTTAATCCTCCATCAATTTGGACCAGGCATCTGGAGAAATACCTGAGGCCTGAAGCATTCTAGTTAAATAGAAGAAGAATAACTGGTCTTACCATGTGTGGCTTCGTGGAAGCCAGTTCTCTTTGCCCACTTTCTCAATGCAGAACTTTTGGGGGCCGTTGCTTCCTATATTAATCAATAAGCATAAAGAAAATTAAATCAATAAAACACTTTTGGTTGTGACATACAGTGTGTGTCTATGTGTGTATTTTGCATACCCATCAGGTCAGCGAAGCCACCCACAGGAAGACGACAGGTTCCTGTGACAAACTGCAGCAGTCTCATCCGCTTCTCATTGTCCATCTCCTTCACAAACTGTCAACAGATCGTTCTGTGTTAATAACACTTACTTTAACATAGTAACATTGTACTTTTCTTCATGTCACAGGGGATTTTTAATAACACTACTAAATTCCCACGTTTTGATCTGACCAGCACTCTGAGGATGCAACTGTATATTCCCACCTGCCAGAACCAGAGGATCTGCTTGCTACTCCGGGCATAATGCCTGTAGATTGTGTTTCTCTGCCAGTCCACCAGGTCTATCTCTTGCATCCCACACAGCATCACCTACAGGCAAGAAGGAAGCACGGTCTTTATTGTGTAAACAACACTGAAACTTTATCAAAGGACTACCACTACCCCAAACCTCACACTTTCCTGTTCTGGAAAAGGTTGAAGAGAGAATAAATCTAGTTACTTCAGTACCTCTAATTCCTTAGCGTCAAAGTATTGAAGGTATTGCTGGGGCAAAACTTCATTGAAGCCCTCAAAGAATGCTTGAGTCTGCTCCTCCACACCTCTAGACAGCCTCCACTCTGCCACCAACCTGCATACAGAAATATGGAGATGAACATACTGCAGTAAAACCAGGTAGTATTAAGAATTAAATCAAATAAAATCAAATAAAAAGTGTAATACTTGGAGATAGAGAATGAGAAGCAAGCAGAGGATGCAGCTGTACCTGATGTATTCCTCCTTATTTTCCTCAGTTACTTGGATGTTCCCTCCATCTGGTTTCAGCTCGTGGGTAGTGACCTCCCCCAGGATCTCCTTGTCAACTGAGAAGAACATCTCCAGACCACACTCTTCTATGTTATTATCCCTGCAGGCCAGAGAGTCATGATCATTATTAACACAGTAAAAATAACACTGGAAAGCAATCCGAGAGCACACGCTAGGCTATACGCTCATCTAAAGTATTTTCATCTAGAAGAGAAATGTTTTTCTGATCTGGATGTGCATCAAAATACAAAAGAGAATTATCCTGATGGCAGCCATTCTTTTTTTTTTTTTTTTTTAAATATCCTAATCCTGACTGGGAATATTACAGCATTGGGATAAACTGAAAATTAATGTGCAATTAAATTAACAATTCAATTAAAATGTAATTAAAATTAAATTAGACCCATTGACTGAAATATAATCATTTAAATTTGCCAAGTTGCTGTAGCACCACCACTTGCCATTGATAAGTGCAAAGTGAAAATATGCTTATTCAATTTCTTAGTTAGAGGAGAAGATTCATGTCGCTCTTGTCTGTATGATAAAACATTGCTTAGCTTTGTATAAAGACTGGAAAACAGGGAGAAAACAGCTAGCCTGGCTCTATCCAACGGTAACAAAATCATCTACCAGAACCTTCACTAATAAATTCTATTTATATATATCTCGTAATGGTGTTTACATACTGCAGTTCAACAACGAAATATCCTAATATCATCATCTACAGTATAAAAACAGTTTAGGGCACACCACAGTCCATCCAACCTTGCACACTCTCCCCATTACCACTATATTATGAACATGTCCATCAGCTACCCACCCACCAAATCACACATTAAGGTTTGTATCCCCAGACGTACTTGATCCAGATGAGTGAGTTGTAAAACTCTGGATCTATGGACTCCAGGTCTTTGAGAGCCAGAGGTTTGTTCAGAATACGCTTATAGAAGGGGAGGGAGAAGCCTGTGTCGATGAATTTGCCATGGAACAATGCCTAGAGAGGAATAACACAGGACAGTTGTTGTTATTTGAATTTCACAATAAAATATATACGTTGATTGTATGTGATATGATTTACACAGGATCATTATGCATTTGACCACATAAACATGATCCATCTTGTGAGCCAAAGTAACCATGCTATCACCATCAGTTCAAATACTGATGCCACACTAAGTAAGTGTTGACAAATAACGCAGGTACCATGGCAATGAAGCGTCCTATGAACTTGAAGTACTTGAGGTGATCAGGGTTGATGTAGGAGGCAGGGTTAATCTGCAGGCAGTAGTTGTCCTTGCCAGCATACTCAAACAAACAGTACATGGGGTTCAGTACTTCATGAGAGAGCAAGAAGAACCATTCCCTGGAAATACAACCACAGACGACAAAAAAAAAGTGAAAGGGTTATACTCGTCGAGGGACAGGTTTTGTGAGGTAAGGGTGGTGTCAAAAACCACAAATAACAACACAACACACCTTGCCAGTCATACAACAAGATGCAATTGTAAAAAAAAAATCAGTTGAAAATACCTTGCCACACCTCCGTAGTCCAAGCCTTCCTCTCCAGGAAAGATGATCCACAGCCTCCGCCTCAGATCTTGAGGGTGGAAGCTCATGATCTTTGAATGCAGACCAATAATTAACACAGCTACACACCCCAAACAGAGACAATACAATACTGATAAACAGAGAACTTAAAGAAAGAAGACGGTATATAAAAATGATCACCTGTTGGAACGAGTCCTCAAACAAGGTCTTCCGGGAGACTGTAATCTTAATGTGCTGAGGCATCGACAATTGCTGAAGGGGGAAACAAATACTCACATTTTACACTATTTAAATGCTTTGCACACCAGGGAACATTAGGTTTTATCTTTGCACATAATTAAATAACATACACAAGTACTAGAGACATGAGTGCCCACAGTAGAGCAGCATTAAGATAAGGAGAGATCCAACAATCACCTTGTGGATTTTATCATGGGAGATAACAAAGCATTTCAACACCTGTTGTTCAGCACATACCTGACACCAGAACCTGAAGTATTGCACTTTGGCTTTGAAATCCCTGACATAGGTTATCTGTGGCCCATTCTCACTGTGGAAAATACCAGACGAAAAAAAAAAGTCAATGTCCATTCAACACGCACATTATATAATACATACACATGTTGCGCGTGCTCTTTACTCACATCCATGACTTGAAAAGAACAAACAAGAACTTACAGTGAGGATTTCCCTGTGCGAGGGTCAATGTAGGTTGTGGTTCGCCTGTTGTGGTCAACAAAGTAGGGGATACCATCCACAGTGAACCTCATCTCCCAACCCTCAGGAAGGGGCTTATCATTAAGCAGCCTGAACAAAGCAAATCCAAATTGTAGCCAATTGTTATCAAAAATAATAATAATAATCACAATACATTGCAAGTGAAATTGGAGAATTCAATTACAAGAGTAATGTGCACTTTTAAATAACTATATACCATTTTTTTTTTTTTAAAAGGCTATATTGTTTATGTCCATGTAAAAACAGCAGACAACATTGCTATATTTGTGCATTCATATTACAATATTAAATGATTGCTCTGAAGCAGATTCTCATATTCTGCTTCGATTCAGAGGAAATTTGACCGATATATATATATATGTGTGATCAAAATCATTCAAGATCTTGGAAATATCATAATTAATTGATTGACAATCAGTGATTGCCTCTCTTTTGACAACATAATAAAGAAGTATGCCAAACCCAAATCTGCCCTCCATAGTGACACTAAACAAAGTTTAATCAATAGCAGTTTATTAATGATTCAGTGCATTCATGTTCAATTACAATCAGTATAAGCTTTTAGTTATATTAAACTATCTACATTTTATACTTCCACACCTCCCAGATTGTTAGCATGTGTTTGTCATTATCCACCTGTTAGTAACTCATTATGACAGTTCTGCAGCTCTGTCCTAAAGTAGATGGGAGTAATTCTCTACTTTAAGAAGGTTGTTAATTTCATGTATTCCTAAGCCTAAAAGAAGGACCCAAATATGTGTGTATCCATTCACTCCTAAAGCTGGTTAGCACTGATTTCCTATTCTGAAGCGTTTTATTAACAACTGGAGCTGAGCAAGTTTCTGACACATTAGCGCCTCTTACAGATAACAAAACAGAAGTACAGCAAAGTTAGGCATAAACCTTTATACTTAGTATAACAAAAAGGTATGACAGTATCAAAATGCATGTTAAATGGCGCACACACACACACAGGCATACACTCACCCTTGCGTCCTGGGGTCCTCCCACTGTGTCGTCCGAGTCGGGTGATGAACAAAATACACTCTGCCATTGGTGTCTGTTCTCTTCTCTGACATAAAAACAAAAAAAAATAATTTAAATATATAACTCAGTATCAGTTGACTACAATACATTTCTACTAACATCACAGCCATAGTCCTAGAAAACATATTTACTGTGTTGTTCTAAAATTTCAGTAGCTATAGCTAAAACAAAGGCTCAGTGATATTTACCCCAACCATGTGGCAGAGGTCCCAGCGGGTCAAACTCTTTATTGGCCGTGGCAGCCAACTGGTCTTGGAGCTGAGCCAGAAAGAAAATGGTACATATGATGATTAAGTCTAAAAAACTAAATATGATTTTTTAAAACTGCCTTGCATAAACTATATGACTTAATATTATTACAGATATATATGAGCAAGTGTAATTGACTTATTATCCTCTGTTGCCCTGGAGTTTCAAATACATTTTAAGGTTATCTCCAACGAAGATATAAGTGAAAATTAAAGCATGCAGATTATAGATATCTATATGGTGATCATACAGGGTCATGCGCAATTAACCTCGTTTGAGCCTATTTCAGATCTGAGAGCAAAATTAGACTTCAAAAAGATTGAATACAGTGTATATGGCACACATGTAAACATATAAAGGAAATGGCAAAGACAGGAACAGTTTACGGCATATTTTCACATGCTGGGCAACCCTAAATGTGGTTTTATTTTATTTTTGGAAACAAAATTGGCATGTTCATAGATTCTGGATGGAGTAAATGTAATTTAAATTTTTTTGAACAAGGTATGTGTATTTTCAGATGTAAAAACTGTGCTTCATGTGCAGTGAATGTAACAAATCCAGTAACTAAGACAGTGACGGCTCTCACCCCATAAATGAACCTCTGGTTAAACTGCTGCATGGCTCCCTGCAGCTGGCTGCGCTGGTGCTGCCACTCCTCATAGTTACGCACTGACTCCTGCGTGGGGCGTTGCCACGTAGTAGTTCGAGTTATGTGGTCAACATAATACACCCTACCCATCGGATCCACCCTGCGCTCCCACCTACAGAAAGTAAAGAGTAAAAAGAGAGTTGACAATGTAAGACAAATGTCAGATTGTACCTGAGGGTTCTACCTGACATCCACAAGAATACCAGAGACACAAGTAGTTTTCAATCTGTTCTAGTATTTTAACTACATCACTGACATAAAACAAAAGCAGAATGTGAACAAAAGAGGAGACATTGATGACTTACACAGCTGAATTTACTGAGGCTCGGCCAAGGAGGATAAGATCAGCAATACAAGTTGAAGCATAGTGCAAAGGCAACCCAATCTTAAAGTATGTATAAGGACATACAAAATTCCTTCACATTATGGACTGTACAGTCTAACAGAGCAGGGCAAGAAGCATGTTAGTATTCATAGTATAAAAAGATGTGTGTTGGTACCCTGTAGGCAGAGGCTCAGGCTTCTCCCAGGTTGTCCTTTTTTCAATGTGATCCACATAGTACATCCGCCCATTCTGGTCCACCCTTTGCTCCCACCTTTAGAGACAATGAATGAAATGAGTGAGCACAGACAAAGCAAAGGAAACAGGAATTCAACTGGAGATGCTGCAGAGCAAACAGTTATGTCAATGACAAATTCTTTGAACCTAAAATACCTAAAACTTTGCTACAGCATACAATAATTAGTGTGTAACAGTGTAGTGCCCTGCTCTTTTACCCTGGTGGTAAGGGGCCGTTGTTCATGGGTGTGATTCTGGGAGTTGTTGTGGCCAGGGCTGCTGAGGCAGAAGTCCCTGGTTTGGGGACACTTGCGGTCTGTGAAGAACCTGCTGTCGCTGCTCCTGCGCCTGAGTCATCCGGCTGATTTGAACACCCACTTGCCGACGCCTGAGAGGAGCCTTCGGAAGCTGGGCCTTCACTCAGCTCACTAGGGGAGGAACTGCTAGAAGAGGCTGGGGAGAGTGTGAATATTGCTTAATGTCTGTGAATGAATTTGCAGTCATTACACACAGTGGACACCATTTTGTATATGAGAGAAAATCCATGGTATGTGAGAATGTGAAATGACTGGTATGGCAAATTGTATGTGAGGTAATGTTATATTGTACAGTCTTAAATGTCTTGTGCTTTTCTTACTTGGTGAGGCTGCTGGTCTGCGAGGTGTAGCAGGAGGAGGTCGGGCTGGTCTGGGAGGACGCGAGGCGTTGGAGCCCCCTGGAGATCGTGACGGAGAATCCTTACCATTGACAGCATGACCATTAGTTACAATAACCCATTCTTCTGAGTCACTGGAGGGAGAGGTGTCTCTGCTTGACCTGGGGATCAAAATATTCACTTAAGTTATTCTCCATGTTTACAATAAGTATTTTAATATAATATGAGATATGCCTTTGTTTCACGTATGTATAGGACTATAAATAAAAGTGTACTAAACCTGTTGCCAGTGTCTCCATTTTGTCTCGAGTTTCCATTTGGAACAGTAGCTGGAATGACAAGTGACATAATTTATATAAAATAATGTTACTGCAACAGCACATCCTGGCATTTACTCAGTAGGGGCCACTCGAGTTTTGATCGCAATATATCCGATGATATTGGATATGTAACGTAAACACAAAACATAAACAGCCACTTTTGAGAAGCATCCCTTAAACTTGAGTATTAAAAGAATTGTGAGCAAGGTGTGTACTAACAAGAACATTTTACATCTCAAAAATAAACGTGCCAATGTTCTCTGGTGAAGAAATGTGGCATACCCAATAGATCTTTTTTATAGCAGCCATTCTGACAAGAAATAGTAGGGTAAACGCAGGTGTTACCAATGATACTAATTAAGGCTCCGTTCCCTTTAGTATGGCTGAGCTTTTCCAGTGAGCCGACATTCACAACAGCAGAGAAAGAAAGAAACTTAATTAGTATGATTGTAACACCTGTGTTTACCCTACTATTTCATGTCAAAATGGCTGCTGTGAAAAAAGGTCTAATACCTGTTTGCACTACAATTATTTCTTACATAACAGCTGACATATATGTACAGTGATCTGTATACATCTGTGATAAGCTATGTTGCTGTGGTCGACCTAGTGTAGCAGGTTAGTGCCTGTGTGTTGTTCCTTACCAGGTTCTCTCTCTGCCGAGGCGAAGGTTTCTGGGTCTACCTGCATGCCGTCCAGACAGACAGACAGGTCCCCGACAACATCCTGGGGGTCTCTGTCAGAGCACAGCTGCAGTGTCTGCACCACCTCACATACTGGGGAGGGCACAGAACATAGTGTCACACAACTTATAATCTGCAAGAAACAACCACACTGACTCATCACAAGAAAATTAAAATAGAGGTGCTAAGACTGCACTAAGAGGAAGAAGAAGAAATCACCCACTAAATGTAAGTACTTGCTCAAAATTAAGAGACATTTTCTCACTGGCCCTTCGTATTGATCTCATCCTCAAGGTATTTGATTCCGGTGTTAGCCCTGCTAGTAAGAGTATGTGGCTCTAAAGATGGCATTGCAGCATTGTCAGTCATTCTTTCAGCTGAACCACTTTAGTCACAAGTAGAGCAACAACCACCGCGGCCTCGAGGGGCTGCTGGTAAGGTTTTTACAATCTTGTTTACTATTACCAAAAGAAAAGCCAGCAGCTATATAGAATATAGACCAGTTATGTCACATGGTTTGCACATGCTGACCAGGTCTGAGGGGAGCCATTGTATTAGGTTGTAAACAGACTCAAAGCAAGCAGAAGCTTAGGTGAGGCCTATATCCCGGAAAAAAGAAACCTAGCGAGTAGTGTCCATGTTGGTTGTTAAGCTTATCAAAGCTCAATAAAACATTCTCATAACACACATTTACATATACGCACTATTACACAACAAGAGTGCACAGTGTCTACATCGCGTGCAACATCTGCCAAAGATAATATGCTGCTATACAAACACAGAGAGACAGAATGAATACCGAAAGTGAGATTACATGGCATACAACTTCTTCATATCTTGAAATAAATAAGCCATGTGGTGGGAGCTTTGTCCTGAATACCTCATAATATTCTGAGGGAATCAGCCCCGAGAGAAATGACAAATAACAGTATAAGCAAACTCAATTTCAATTCAATTACATTACATTTTATTTGTATAGCACCAAATCACAACAGAGGTTTAAGTGTCAGGACACTTTTCAAGTATAATAGGTCTAGACTGTACCAAATAAATTAATATAATTAAGGAACAGACTGCTATAATGAGATCACAGTTGTCTTATGCCAGTAAATGGAAAAATTAGAAGAACGTTTGAGATGTAATATTTTGGAAAGAAAACACAAGATTACCATTTAGGAGACAGAAAGTAGTGTCAACTCACATTTCAAGTCGTTAGCCTTAAGGGTCTCACTGATCTCCAGTGTGGCCATTCCCAACAGGATGTCTGCTTTCAGTGTCTGGTGGCTCCAAACTCGAAACACCAGCTTGCTGACCGGAGTCACAATTCTGTGGGAAAGTGAGAAAATGACAAGATACAAGTCAACACCAGAGAAAAAGATTAAGGATGATCTCCACTAATGCTGAGCAGATTCACAGTCGACTAATCAGCTGTGAGAAAATAAATCGATTTCTGTTTCTTGACTTTGGGGCTGGTCCGCTGTTATCTCATCACATCAGTTTTATTTTTTATTATCCAATTCATCGTTCAAGTCATTCATAAAAATGAATTCCTAGAATTTGCCGATTAATGGTTCAATCTAAGTAATTGTTTTCTATTTTTGACATCACTGCGGTTGAATATGGTTTCACAACACACAAACAACTGTATGAACTCACACGCTATTTTCATGCAGATTCAATATTAATTCAGAATATATCCTCCAAGTATTTAATTTAACATTTTTAACAGAATCCCCAAGTTGTATTATTACTAAATTAATAATATTGCTGTTATCAAATAGCCCAGCAACCAGTAATCAATCAGCGTCCTCTCCTGTGACAAACACAACAATCACACTCACACTGTGAGAGCCTGCTTCCATTTGGGACTGTGTGTGTTATTGCATTTCTCAGTCCTCTTTGACTGGCCATCCACGGCTACCTCAACGTACGGACTGGGACCAAACCAGTTCTTTTTGTTTTCCTTCAGCTTGGCTGAAAGCACTAGAAAAGGGAAGATTCAGAAGTTGCATTTGGTAAAAGATGCTACGAACTGCTCACACCATTAACCTACGCATATAAAATCACCACTTCCTCCCAGTGCTGAATGCAACAACAGTCACGAACATCTTAGGCAGTTTTTAATACATAGCACGTAAATTCATAAACCTGAACTCCAACAATACTGAACATTACAAATGTTTTAATTTATCAAATGTGTGTTCTTAATTTTTGTTGACAGACAAGCTTACGAGTGTTGTAACAATAACTTACCTGTGACTTGTAATTGGGCCTTCATGGTTCATCCATAACACTGCAGCCTGGTTCGCTGAAAGGACCTGCAACAACAGCGAGCAGTGACATCAGATGTAAACATGGGACACTACGCAGGTCACCTACTTAAATAGTGATTAGGCTATTAGGTTGCTACAGTGAGTGGAAAATAAGGCCTGGCTTTGAATATAAAGGCGAGTGTGGATTGGGGAGGCTAACTAATTCAGTAGGGGAGTTATGATCATTTCAGGTACCTGGAAATATTACAAGAGTATGTTTGTAGTGATGCTAATTTAAAAGAACTTTTATTTAATAAAAGCTGAACTAAATATTTCAGGCAAATAAGCTTTATAGAATGAAATTAAACTACATTTTAACATGACTGTATATAACTTAGTCCCACTAACAGGCAATAACACCGTCAAACCGTACCTACACAGAATCATTTGACAACTATAAACAGTAACACACTGCTGTGGAATTAAATATTTTTAGTGTTTAAACATACACAAAGACCCACGTTATGGTTTAGTGGATCTTGGCTATTTTAAGAAACCACCGAGTGCCTTCCACAACAGAAAACCACATTAAGTCTCACTAAACCTACTTTGCTAAACCTTTGACAACACCCTCTGACAAGATAAGAAGGTAGTTTAAAAGGCTAGAAAAGAGAGAGGGAATACAAGTCACCAGAATGAGGGTGAGTGTATAATCCGACAGTGATATAATGTTGTCCAAAGGGGCGACGTGTTCCCTTTCTACCCGCAACGTGAAGGCAGACTGTAGCTCATTAGCTGTTAGCCAACATGAGATTTGTTGTCAAGACAACTTCAAACACCCGCCTCTCTTACAACAACGGTCTCAACTATTAAATCGTTAAGGTGTATTATTGGCTATAATCTCTCTTTTTTTGTGTGTGTGTGTGTGTGAATTATTCATAGAAACCGAGAAGTTGCACCACCTGGAGCAACTTTGTTCGCCGACGTCCTGGACACCGAGGCTTAGTGAGCTAACCGTGCTTTAATAACGTTAGTATTAATGCTCCGCAAGGCTGCTCCGGTCGCTCAGTCGAGGTAAACGCACACTCTTCGCTCCTGTGAGAGACTAAATGATCATACCTGGAAGAAGCAGATGATACAGGGCCACACGGACTTCGGTTTCAGCTGAACCTAGATTGTTGACAGATAGCAGCCATCAGCGCAGACCTGTGTTCCGTTAGCCAGAACTAGACCGGCATTTCCGGTACCATATTTTCAAAATAAAGAGGTATATATCTACAATAGCCATGTATTTACTGATGTTTTTTTTTTGTTTGTTTGTTTGTTTTTTTTGCACAAAAACTGTTCTATACTGTAATTATAATTAAGTGAAGTTTGATTAAGTTTGCTCTGTTGTCATGGAGATTAATCCGTCTGACCTGTCTCGTGGATCTGACCAGCTGTTATGAATTGTATCCATGGCACTTTTAGGACAAGGTTGAAAGCTCTGGAAAAGCTATTGAATATTCTCTTTTGTTTGTGTCACCTATATTCAGGATTTTTAATTGCTAGTTTGTTTGTTTTTTTGCTGCATATATGTCACACAAATTGTATGGTCTTTAAAACAGCTTAGTACAGTTTTATTTTTTTTTATTTTTTTTTGCGAATAATGAAATGTCCGAAACCTGCATGAAGAAATTTGCCTTTCTCATATGTTTCCACTCTTACTGTTGCTTTTTCTGTGTGTATACCCTATATGTTATTTTCAGTGTGCGAACTTCAGGGTGACTTTTGGGGGAGCTCACTTTTTGTACTGCAGGGGGTGGACTGACCGTGACGCACTGTATGCTGACTACAAAACAGAGAAATAAATAAATAATAGCGAATCGGCTCACAGACTGACTGGTACTACGAAAGTTTATTTTATGTGTATTTTCTGATCTGAAGTTAATGATATTGTGCTGCCGTGCTTCAGTTGAGATGGCAAGAAGAGCAGTATCTTTATTAAAGTGAATTAGTGATGAATCACCCTCATGCACAAATCATAAATCAATAGTAGCCCACGTTTACGCATAATCCGTGACTATGGAGATATAGATAAATAGAAATGCATGTATGTATGCAATATTAAATACAGCGCCCAACATTTCATAAATCATGTTTTTAGGGCAGCTCATGTCTCATTCAGAGGATCCCAGCTCTTTTTTTAATATTTTCTTTTTGTAATTAATAAACTTCACTATTTAGTAACTATTTTATTAGCAGTAGCAGCACTAAGTAGGATTAATTCTTTAACTAATTCTCATTTAACAAATTTTTAATTCTTTACACTTTTATTTTGAAAGGCCAAAACGGCATGACGTTAAAACCTGACACTGACGTCACCACAACGCAAACGTATTTCCTTTAATTATAAAATAAAGCGCACTATAATAATATACATTCCCTTGAATGGTGTGTAACCACGCAGTGTACACGCTGGCAGTGTTCCTACTCTCTGTGTGTGATACAGTAACACAATCACGACATCGACATTCACAGTTACATTGATCGTTATTAATTAAATGTTGCTATGGGAGACGACGTTTTCCTTGACACGCCCACTCGTGTCGTCCTCGGTCTCGTGATAGCCGCCCGTTAGCATCTCCAGCTTCTCGGTTTGTAAAACGCCATGTCATTCAGAAAGCTGACATAAAAAAAACAAATAAAAAACCACTTATAATAATCCCAGCGGCCATTAAAGATGTTGTCTCGTCTACTGAAGGAGCACCAGGTCAAGCAAAACGAGCGGAAGGAGCTGCAGGGTGAGTGACAGCTATCAATGCTAACGGATGCTAAAAACAAAGCTGATGAAGAGAAGGAGAGAGAGAGAGTGAAGAGTAAAGAAACCCCCACAGACAGTAAACAACAGTGCTGATGATTTGTTTGTCCGTGTTGATGTTTTTACTTGCACAGAGAGACGCAGGCGTGAAGCTATCTCTGCAGCCACCTGTCTAACAGAAGCCCTGGTAGACCACCTCAATGTTGGGTATGGATGTTCAGCTTTGTGCCCGCTGCTGGGTTTTCTTTCCGTCCTCAGTTTTAGCAGACATCCTGTGGTTACGTTTCATAGTTATAGCTCAGTAAAAGTTACAATCCGCATCGTTGTGTTAAGATTATTGTGTGAAACGTGTGCCACCAAAAACAGAAACCAGCGCTTACGTTCAGTTTGATCTGTAGCTGTGTGAGTCAAAATGCAAGAGCCTACAGGTAGCTTTGATTATATGTTATTTAGGCCTGAAACTAACGATTATTTTTCATTATTAATTCATCTTCCAGTTATTTTTGTAATTACTCACATGGTCTGTAAAATGTCAGGTAAGAAAAGCCAATTTCCTAAAGCCTCAGGTGACATTTTCAAATGTCTTGTTTACTCTGATTTAAAACAAGAAAACGCAGCAAATCTTCACATTTTGAGAAGTTGAAACAAGACAATGCTTTTATGATAAATCAGTTATTAAAATAGGTGGCAATTCATCTTCTAATTGACTAATCGAATAACAGCTAATCACTTTAATGTTATTTGGGCTGTGTGAAATAAACGATTACATAATGAATCTGCCACTTGTTAGATGCTTGATATAATCAATATGTAAGAAAATTATGAAAAATACCAAACCTAATGTGATTTCCTCAAATTATCTCCAACCAACAATCTAAAACCTACAATTATTCAACTTAAAATAATAATTAACAGAAAGGGCAGTAAATGTCATTTTGCTTGACAAATAACTTTAATTCACAGAAACGTTGAAGGTTATTTTTCATTTAATAGGCAAATAATTTAAGTGCTTCATTATATGCCATTGTTATAGAGCATTAGTGTTGCTACAGAGTATCAGATTTTACTGTGTTTATAGCTAATTTTGCCCAGTGCTGTGCTGTATTTCTGCTCCTGTACAAGGCATGTCTACTAAAGAATTCTCCTGCATTAACTAACCCTTGAAGTCCGTATAGATTGTCTAGATATTATGGTTCCCTACCATATTTCAGCTCCACCCACTTCCTTCTGAGCCAGTAAAATAAATGAATCCATTTTAGCAGGGCAGAATTGGCCTCCTGTGTGAGTGTGACACAATAATAAATAGTACCTTAAGACTGTTAACATTGTGAAAGTTGTGGTGAAACCAAGACAATCAGCTTAAAGAACAAGAGTGGGATGCAAAGCCCATTGTTGTGCTGTTCCTTTTTATAGAGAAGATTATGACCCAAATAAATCCTTTGGTAAGATTTAGTCTAGAATCTTAGACAATGTTGTATACATTTAGAAATGAGTGGGACTATCAAGTACAGATTCACTCTCACATGCCACGGTGGATATATAACACACTACATAATGCTTTATTTTCATGTATGAACTATTCTGGAGCACTTCTCATTGTTGTTTCCTGTTTTACTTTAGCGTTGCCCAGGCATACGTCAACCAACGTAAGCTCGACCATGAGGTGAAGACTCTCCAAGTGCAGGCGAGCCAGTTCTCCAAACAAACTGCTCAGTGGATCAGTATGGTGGAGGGTTTCAATCAGGCCCTGAAGGTAGGATACCCTGTATCAGTGAGGAATGTATCAGAAAACACAGCCTTTCTGTCATCTGCTTACATACAATATCAGCTTTGTTTATCCTTTCACATTTGATACGCCTACAACTGTCAAATCAATAGGTGCCCTTACTTCTTACTGTAATATGCCAAGTTAGGCTCTGTTAATGAGATGGAAAAAAAGGATTTGAGGGCCTTGAAACAGGTCCTAGATCTGAGCGGATTTGACAGGTGGTAAAAGCAATTCATGAATGAGTTCCCACTCCCTCTGCAATTATCCAGCTTCTATCATCTTCACAGCGTGAAAGGATTCCTGGAAACGTTTCAAGCTTTCCTGTTGCTTGTCCCGATGATAGTTAGAACAGTGTTGTCTCCACCTTTTTAGAGTCACAACCCCCAGAATAATCAGGTAATAATGTTTTAATAGGCCTAAAAGCAATCATATTTATAAATACATTCTCATATTACAGAAGTAACTGGGCGTAATAACAGTATATGGCCTATAGTATACTGTGTTTCTGAGTTGTCATTAAAGGGATGACATCATTGTCATTTTATTCTCCACAACCAGTTGGCGACCCCCAGGTTGAGAACCACTGAGTTAGATTGGTAGATGTACACTGTGGTGATACTAATTCTGTTTCTGCTCTTTTTTTTAAACAGGAAATTGGGGATGTGGAGAACTGGGCCCGCAGTATTGAGATGGACATGAGGACCACTGCCACAGCTCTGGAGTACGTACACAAGGGTCAACTTCAGTCTGCTTCCTCATAAACTTCATGGCTGGATGATTACAGCTGAAACTAAATACACTGGAACGAAACAGAAAATCCGGTGGACTCCTATCAGCAAAGACGCAAGCAGCAGTGATTTTGAGTGGGCTAATGCTGATGGTTACTTTGTTCAGAGAAATGTTGAAAGTTTGCTGCATTTGACAGTTAATTCCACGCCTGCATCACTGTTTAAGTTCTTGTGTGAGCAACAATATCAAAGAGTGCAAGCACACAATGATGCTGGAGTTGTTCAAAGATCAAGCTTGTGTATGAAATGAAATAAGTCTAGCATCTATTTATAGTGACATCAGTTAACAACATTTTGGTAATTGAATAACTGGGGGAAAAGCTGTCTCGGTAAGGATTTTCGAAGGTGTCACATGTAAAAACTTAGTTCACCTGCTTGTAATAGCTTTAAGAGGGTACAGACAAATTGACACCTTCCTAAACGTTTTATAGGAAGGCTTCTTTTCATCACCTCTTGCCTGAGTTATGTAGGTCTGTATTTATGTATTATATGTATGGTGATGACGATGATGATTGAGTTTTGTTTTCATTATTGGTGAAACATTATTTTTAATAAAGCACAAGAAATGCACTGGTGTTTTTTTTCTTATGACAAAAGGCTAAATGAGTTTAATTGCCCACTTGAGTGTGAGAAGGGCTTCATGAGAATAAATTACAAAGAAGGACAAGGGAAAATCTGCATGAAGAACCTCATTTTCAAAAGGGAAGTTTGAGCAGATTACCTAAAAAGGGATCTTCTGGTCAGGATGTCCATGACCACAATCGATGGCAGGTAAAACTTTAATGTTAAATAAACAATGAGGTGAAAGTTCAGTCAGGACTGTCTGACATTCACAAATGTTTAAGGAAAGTGTTTACTTGTAAAGAACTTGTGGGTCAAGGATTGTTTTTGGATTGCATTACTAAATTGCGAGGCAGAAGGCCAGAAGACAAAGTATAATGTTAGATATCCAAGGTCATACAAATTAGGGTTCAAGGTTTTGCAACAGAACTGCTGGTACAACACTAAATACAATAACTGGATAAATACTTGCCGGGCTAGTGTGATTGGACAATTCATGGAATGTGTGACGTGAAGGAAAGTTACGTCACAACGCACGAGGCTGTTGAAGGCAGTCATGTAGATTTGTTTGGTAACCAATTACACTTTCAATTAACTGGGTACTATAAGGATAGAAAACCAGTGTCAAGAACCAGTTGGTAACACACTTTATTCTCCAGTTTGGACTTCACATGGCATAGGAATTTGCCTGTTTTTATGTAAAAGAGTCTTAATGCTCATGACTCTTAATCTAAGTCAAGATCTTGATAGAAATAGCCACAGGGGAAGTTTAAAGTGTAGAGTTTTCTTTAATGGAGGGTGCAATTGTGAAGCAAGTCACATTTATACAAAACACGTTTCCTTATTGCACCACAGAGTTTTGTTGAAATGATACATCGATAAGCCACAACACAATGTACAGTACAATGGCCACTTCTTGTGTACTGTCCACACCTCTGTGCTTTGAGCTGACTGCATAGCAGATATAGACAACCATGCAGTTACAGAGTACAATGCATATATTGTTTACGCTTTAAAACTGATATAATAGGTCCTTGAACCGAATGAGCCAATGAGATTATACGCATGTTTTTGAGTGTGTACAAGGCTTTTAACATCTGGGATTATTGTAAGTTTGTTTTAACACTCTTAAAACATAAAGTTCTTACTGTGCCCTGGGAACCAGCAGGTTCTGGAAAAGCAGAGAACCTGATGTGATTTTAAAATTAGTTCGTGTACTCTGAGTGTAAGGTGGAATATCTAAAAAAAATATAAAAAGTTCTTTGATATCCAAGTTCACATTGTGCACAGGAAATTCTCAGTATTCTGAAATTCCCACCACTTAAAACATACACACACACTTGCACAAACCTAGTGGTTACGGATTGGGGATTACCAATTGCGGACTTATCTTAAGGGATAAACCACAGGGATAAAGCCTCTCTCTGACCAGCCTCTCTGAGTTAAGACAGAAGAACAATCAGTAAGGGAAAGGGAAGGGGACGGATAACTTGTGGAGATCCATCCACTTCTCAAAAAAAAGGAAAAGGTAGGACAATATAATTTTAATATAATTATCTCTCTCACCATTGAATTACAACACTTTCTCTTTCTTACATGTTCAAGGTATTTTACTCATTAACCTCTAATATTTGTATGGTTCAATTTAATTAGTGAAATAATTAGTTTAAATATGTATAATGAAATCTTACAGCAAACTGTAATTTACATATTAAGTTTGAATAGTTTTACCAGTTAAAATTATATTGATTTATCTGATTGGTATTCTGGTCTATTACTCAATTTATGTGAAACCTGAGTTGTAATTTTACAGGATCCTTTATGTTTTAATTAATGTTCTCATGCCAACAGCAACAGTAAAGGTTCTGTATCTGGTTTAGGTTTGCAGGCAATTTTGATATCTTGATATCTTTTTCATTTGTTTTTCTCACTAATATTCCAGAAAACTAATTGGTTTGCAGCACTGAGTAGCTTAAGCAGCTCTGTCACAGGCATTAAATTTATGCTTCAAAACAATGCACCCCCACTCGGGTCACCCTCCCTCACAAATGCCTTTCTTTCTTCAATAAGAGTATTATCCAAATATTTCTCATGTGCCCCAAGCAGTTCTGTATTACAAGCACCTCTACAAAGGCCCTCAGTAAACAAACTCATTGTGTCCCAGAAGTTATCAAAAATGTTTCAATAAAACCTAAAATATTGTGAAATCGAGTAGGGCTTTGGGGATTCTTGAAATAAGTCTCAAATTAGGTGTATTTCTACTTTTTATTCCATTCCTGAAAAATCGGATTTGGCAGTCTGCCATGTCAATACCTATCAACATTTTCTCAACATGTTTTTTCAGCAAGAACTAAGTCCTCCAGGTGACTAAAACCCCACTTCTAATCCTGGAAGCAGCATGGATACACAGTTGGTCTTCGACCTTTTAGGGTAAGAAAAACCAATGCTACACTACTTTTTGGGCAGTAATTTGCCAGCTGTAGCTTAACCTTTGAACTTTTCAAACTTAAAGATACAGAATATGTTCTAAATCTCTTCTTCTTGTTCAAACTTCTCTCTGTTCTCTTTTAGGGAAAATGTCTGGTTGTGCGTCAGTGCTACCTTTGTGGTGTTGTGGATTATCGTGTGGCTGTACAGAGACAGCCTGGAGATTGAGAACATGAATGAAAAGTATGTCTTTGTGACCGGCTGTGACACTGGGTTTGGAAACTTGCTGTGTAAGAAGCTCGATCGTAAAGGTTTCCGCGTGCTGGCCGGCTGTCTAACAGAAAAGGGAGCCGATGACCTGAAAAGGGCGACGGGGCCTTATTTGAAGACTGTCCTGCTGGATGTGACCAATCAGGACAGCATCCAGAAAGCCATGGAGTGGACCAAGAAGGAGGTTGGCGATAAGGGTGAGAGATGATGTTATTATGCATTATTTGAAAATAAGATGACTCATTTAATCAAATTTCTCTAAAACAAAACTGTTCTCCCACCTTTTTTCTTTCATTTCCCTTTCAGGACTTTGGGGTATAGTGAACAATGCTGGACGCTCACTACCCATGGGCCCTTCAGAGTGGATGAAGGTGGAGGATTTCCACAGCACACTGAAAGTCAACATGAATGGGGTGATTGGCATGACGATGACCTTCCTGCCCCTCATCAAAAAGGCTCGTGGTCGTATTGTAAATGTAGCATCGGTGCTGGGCAGGGTGGCTGCAAACGGAGGTGGATACTGCATCTCCAAGTTTGCAGTGGAGTCTTTCTCTGACTGCCTCAGGTAAGACTTACACAGCCTCATCAACATTAGATAAGAGTGTACCGTAACAGCCTGCATGCTTGATTAAACACAAAGAAAGTATTTTGTACAGCCAGTTAGAAAGACCTATATTCTAATTATGAGGATAAATAGTCATTCAAGTCATAATCTTCATATCTTCATTCCCCCGTGAGGGAGATTTAGTTTGCAGACAGGGTTTTATATTAAACATTTTGTGCAAGCAACAGCACACAATTAGAGCAATAAACCACATTCCAGCCTCAGCATATGCCAGGCAGGCAAATATTGGCTGATGAGACCAGACAGGGTCTTTCTCATTGCTTCTAAATGAATTGCTGTACTTATCATAAACCAATACCCTTACTGCCGTTTACTAGATATACTATTGTGTTTTCATTTCCTACACTCAAGGAACGATTTTACAATATTAAAGTTTCATGAAAAAGGTTGCAGCCGCTGTCACAAACCTGTTTCAAGCTTTGTTAGTTTTTAAAAAAAACTATGAATTGCTGTGTTCGATGTTATTCTACATCACTGTTCCTTTTTCAGGAGAGATATAAGCTACTTTGGAATCAATGTGTGCATCATTGAGCCAGGGTTTTTCAAGACTGCAGTGACAAGCCTCGACCCCCTCGAGAGGGAGCTGCATCGACTGTGGAACCAGCTCAGCCCCGAAGTACAAGCCAGCTATGGAGACAAGTACCTTGATAAGTGTAAGTAGACTGCAAATCTCTATTTGGACTCATATATAAGTAAGCATCACTCCACTGGTTTATTTGTATTTGTTTTATGTCTGTGATTTTGTTACCTTAGAATGAGCGGGTCGCCTTCCATGGAGTCCTAGATAGATTGCATTTTTGCGAGATTTGTGGACACCATAGTTACTCCTTCGCACCGCTAGATGCCACTAAATCCTACACACTGGCCCTTTAAGAGTCTAAAAATATTATTCTTACACTGGAAGTTATGTTACTTTTGAATTGAGCTCAGTTACAATGAAATGTGAGTGTTTGCTAATCTTTCATGAAAATGTCCCGTTTTGCAACAAATGCAAAAAAACTTTAAAGCATTTTCTGTATTCGTTTATAAAAATCACATTGCAGTTATTTCCTGAAAATAAGCTGTTGGGCTGCACCTGAAGGAAACATTCAGTCAATCAAAAATTCTGTCACATACATCAACAATCCTAAAAAAGATATACATTAGGAAATACATACAATTAAGGTTGCAGGACACTGTCAACCTGGTAGAGCTGGCGACCATGTACCAAGTTGCTGCAGTGGCCCAGGGTT